TGTTAGCCCTAATGCGTGAGGACATCCTCCTCTGAGCCCTTTCAGCAAGGGACGTGTTTCCCCTTTGTATTGCCTGCTCTCTTGCATGTTGTGAGTTGTGAGTATGCTCCCAGGTATTCTCCGTGTCTGGAGTATTGCTTGATAGGGGTGGATAATTAGTCTGCCACCGGTGGGACTCCCAGGCTGGAGTGTGTGTGGGAGTGTCTATGTACTCCCTTTCCCAAGAACTGCTACCTGAAACACCTGTGGAAGTTGGGTGTTGAATACCCGTTTCCCTTTCTACAGCCAACGTAGGCTGTTGATTTTGAATTCCAGAATGCATTTCCCATTCCTCCCCCCCCCCGAGGAGACTGAGAAGGAACCATAGGCGCGTCCCGCCTCACACGTAATTGATCGATGTGGCGGCGAAGTACGCGGCCGTCTGGCAGGGACACCTCGTAAGACAGAGGCCCTGAGACTTTACAGACCACAGCCGGTACCCAAAGGTGGCCAGGCCCGTAATTCCTGGCCCAGACAGGATCACCTTCACGTAGGACCCGTGGTGGGTGTGGCTGAGACACCTGTGCAGCTACACGTTCCGGATGCAGCCTGTCCAATTTAGTCACGAGCCAACGACCCCAGCGGAGTTCGGCCGGGCACTTACCCGTGGCAGTGCACGGAGTAGTACAATGTGCCAAGAGAAAATCAGCCAACCTGTGATGCCAGTTGCCGTAAGTCAGCTTCTTGAGGGCGTCCTTGGTGACACGGACCATCCGTTCAGCCAGACCGTTGGTGGAAGGATGGAAGGGAGCCGAAGCAGCATGTCGGATCATGTTGGTCCGAAGAAATCCCTGAAACTCAGTAGAATTAAATTGAGGACCGTTATCCGACACTAGAACATCTGGCAACCCGTGTGCAGCAAAAATGTTCCTCAACACCTGGATAGTCTTGGCGGCTGTGGTAGAAGACACAGGCACGACCTCCAGCCATTTGGAATGGCTATCAACAACAACCAGGAAGAATTGACCCTGAAAGGGCCCAGCGTAATCTACATGTATTCTAGACCA